CTGCAGTGAACAATGACTGTGCCACTATACTCTAACCTGGATGACAGAGTGAGACCCTATCTCAAAAAAGAAAAAGAGGAGAAAGGGAAAATCAACTTAATCAGATGAAGGTGTTAAAGAGTAAAATCAGGTCAATATTATCTATTGACATGACGGAAGTCAATAGATAATACCTCAAATTGATGAAGTCAACAAACACTACATATACCATGGAGAAACAGAAATAGAAGATGCATAAAGGGTGGACGAAATAGCTGAAAGAGTTGAAGAGGAGGAGCTGGAGGAAGACAGAGAAGTGGTACTGTTTCGGTATGTTTTTATTTAGTGCTATTTAACTTTTAAAATGATATGCATGTATTGCTTTGATAAATAAAATATAATAATTTAAAAAACAGATGACATTTGCTGTATGAGATTACGAGGAGAGAAATTAAAACAGATGTAATAATTAGAAATTTGGTTAATTTATATGATTTAAATATGAAGGCGTTTAATGTGTTTTGTTGTCAGGAGGCTTAAATGGAAATTCCATAAGGAAGGGTGGGCTGAATAAAAATTAGAACTTTGTAACGGTTGTGAGTTTCAATTTTAGCTTTTTTAAGGCAATTACTAGCTCTCTAACTTTAAGATTTCGATGCACTTATTTAATCATTCCCTGAAATAATTTGAGCTTATAAGATTTCTGAAAATAATGATTAATGAAACACCATGTAAAAGCAAACTTTCAGCAAACATTGAATACATTAGTTAAATGCAGGAGATATACCATGTTAAACTGCCCTGCCTGAACTGAGATTTCTTTGTTATGTCTTATGGAACTCTTGACATTCCAAGCATTCAGATCTAACGAGTCTGCCAATATGAGTTGAGTTCCTACTATGTGTCAGAAGTCGGGAGTGGCTCTGGACGTGCACAGAGCCACTGCATTGTATGCATGCACAAACCTCGCTCTCCTCATTCTTGAAATCTAAAGGAGAGAGAGAAACATTAAATAAATGAATAAAGAGTCAAAATTAGAGATAAGCGGCGAGGAGGAAAAGTATAGCATGTTAAGAAGGAACAAACTGGGTTGACGTATGTTTCACTGTGGACCCAAGAAAACCCTCTCTGAGAAATGAGATACTCAGGCATAAATAATCCTTAACCAGGTAAACAGAAAAAGGATGCTGAAGGACTGAGAGCGGTTTGGGGAAATACGCTGTCATGAGGAGTTGGGCATGACTACGGACCAGAAGAGGGCTGATGGCCCCGAAGTCAAATGAGAAGGAACAATTCTGGAGAGGTAGAGTGGGGAGGAACACCAGAAGCAAAAGCAAGGAGAAGCTGGTATTGTGGCCCAGGCTGGTGAGGAACTCCTCCTTGTGAAGCACGTAGCTGGGTGGATGAATGATGGTGAATGAGCACAGGTGGAAAAGATGCTTCTGGCTCCAAGGTTTTACATCAGTTTTAGAAGAAATTCTAAAATCCTCAGGGAGGCCTGGAAGGATCCCTAGGGACCTGGAATCTGCCCACGTTTTCCATCTCATCTGGTACTACAGTCTCTCCAGCTCACAGCAGCCAAATATGCTTTAAGACCTTTTCTATGACTGGGAACTGCTTTACGTAATAGAGCGTTTTTTTTCTACCTGGAATGTTCTTCTCGTCCCCCTTGCAGTCACTCCCGAGTGCCCTTTAAGGCAATGTGTAAAGGCTCCTTCCTCTGAGTAGTCTTTCCTGAACTCCTAATAGAAGCCAAGTTCCACTTGCAAAATCTCTTCTCACATCTATTAGCTTTTCTTCATGGAAACTACATTCTGTTCCTGTGCCTCAGTGTCCTCTTTTGTAAAAGAGAGGAACTAATATGAGTAACTATCTCAAACGGTCATGGGGACTTGGGACTGTAAGGCACTGAAAGTAGTGCCTGGTATATAGTAAGGGCTCCGCAAACATTAGCTATTATTTGAAGGAAGCTAGGCCCAAAAGAATACGTTTTATATTCATGCTAAGTCTCAAAAAGGCTTTTTTTTTTTTTTTTTTTTTTTTTGAGACAGTCTCGCTCTGTCACCCAGGCTGGAGTGCAGTGGTGCGATCTTGGCTCACCACAACCTCCACCTCATGGGTTCAAGCGATTCTCCTGCTTCAGCCTCCAGAGTAGCTGGGATTACCGGGCATGTGCCACCATGTCCAGGCAATTTTTGTATTTTTAGTAGAGATGGGGTTTCACCACATTGGCCAGGCTAGTCTCGAACTCTTGACCTCAAGCGATCCACCCACCTTGGTCTTCCAAAGTGCTGGGACTACAGGCATGAGCCACCACACTCAGCCTATTTGCAGGACTATTGACGTGATCATAAGCACCATGAAGGCAAGAACATTACCTATTGACTGGGCCCCTGATAACTGATGTAGTCCCTGAAACAAACCATAACGAAGCAAAACATAAGCCTCATGCTGTCACTTCTCTATTCAAAGCCTTCAGTGACTCCCATTTCATCCAGAAGAAAAGTCAGTCCTTACGCCAGCCAAGTCCTTAGCAGATGCATGCACCCACTGCCTCTCTAATTTCACCTTTGCTACTCCTGTGTCACTCATGACTTTCCAGCCACAGGAGAATTAATTGGAGTTGGTGATTTTGCTACATTGCAAATGTACTAAATGTAATTAAATTGTTTGTTTTGAAAAGGTTAATTGCATGTTATGTGAATTTAATCTCAATTTGTTTTTTAAAAAGCAGGGGTTTTAGAACCATAGTGACCCAGCTCTAATTCTGTCACTTAGCTGTATCATTTCTGACATCTGCTTCACCTCTCTGTGCCTCAGTTTCTTTAGCTGTGATATGTGCATAACAGTAGTACCTACCTCTTAAGGTTGCTGCATTAGGTAAGTTAACACCTGTAAAAATATGAAGAGCAGTGTCTGGCATAGAAAATAAATAAAAATAAATGCTCATTATCTTCAGGAAAAGTTCATTCTATTTATAAACAAAGGAGAGCAAAAATATGGGCCATCCTTTTATAAAATTTCTATCATTTATATTGACTCTTAGGTCTGGAACAGGAAATGGAGAATATGAATCTAACCACTCCATGCTATGGTTGAGGCAGCTGAGGTCCAAGGAAGTGATGTGACTTGTCCAAGAGCAGTGAGCTGTAGTCAGTGGTCAGCCCAGGACTGGCTCCCCATACCCTGAGTACTCAGCCTGGATCTTTTCTTCTTTAGCCTGTGATGAGTCCAACATATGTATGAAATTAGCTAAATACCAACTAGGTTCAGACCTTCCATGTGACTGAATTTCTTTAGACTCTAGGGTTATTACAAGAGGATGTGAAGGGATAAATAACTGAGATAGTTTTTTGTTTGTTTGTTTGTTTTTTCTGAAGATTTCACTGCAGCTGCTTTCCACAGTGCTTTGGCAAATAGACCAGTGTTAGTACAGAAATTACAGTAAAATTGTTAAGGTATGTGTAATGATAGCTACCTTGCTGAAAATGAAATTATAAAAGAAACCCCTACTCCATATAGCATTTTGCCAAAATCTGAAGAAGCACATGTAAAGTTATACTCTGGTTTTGCTAGACATGAACTCAGGATAGCACTAAACATGAAGCCTATCAATGTAGGTGCTTTGAATTAAGTTAAAAGAGAAATCAGGTTTCTTATTCAACTCAATTTTACAAATCTGCTGCTGTAATGTATAGGTTGTACGTCTTATGAGAGAGCATCACTCATTCATTTATTTATTCAGTGAGTAGTTACCAAGCTCCCTCTAAGTACCAGGCACAGTGCTACACACTAAGGTTTCAGGCAAACAGAGCAGACAAAGAGTTCATTATCAGAGAATTTGTAGTAAAATAAATAAAACAAGTAGAGAATTAATAATGACCAGGAGGGATTTAAGAAGGGCTTTGTGAAGACAGCTAATGGGAGGAGCTAATTTAGATAAGACAGACAGGATGGATAGAAAGAGGTAAATGAGAGAAGAGAGACAATTAAGAGTTTATTGTAATAGACCAGATGGAAGATGGAAGATCATGATGATTTAGGCCAGTGCTGTGGCTCTCAATCCGGGGTGATTTTGTACATCAGAGGGCATTTATTTGACAATGTCTGCAGACATTTTTGGTTGTCACACCTTGGGAGGAGGATACTGCTGACATCTAGTGGAGAGAGTCCTGGGAATTTGCTATAAGCCCTACAATGAACAGGACAACAGCCTTCATAAAATATAATTTTCTAACCAAAGATATCAAAAGTTTTGAGGTTGAGAAACCCCGGGCTAGTATGGTATCAGTGGAGTATAGAGAAGTCAACTAAAGACATGCTATGGAGGTAAAGCCATTATAAAAAAATCTGATATGGGAGTAGGTGAAGAAGTAAGAAAAAAAATGAAGGGTGACCTCCTGATTTTCCAGTTTTAATGGCTGGATGGAAGGTGGTGTTCATATTGAAATGAGAAAATTTGGGAGAGGATTCAGTGTGGGGCAATGACATGGGACAGAATCAAGGATGTGAGATGCTGACTCTCTCAGAAATGGTCCTTAAAATTGGCTGCATGAATCTGGAGGTCTGAGCAAAAGACAACATTTGAGAATCTTTGGCTAAAAGGTGATATTTAGCATCATAGAAATACATGACATCACCTAGTGAAAAAAGCATAAAGTAGTAGTCAAGAACTCAAGATTTTGATCCTACATCAGCCACACAGTCCCAGCAGGCTCTAAAAGCCACTTGATCTTTTGTTTTTGGTGCCCTGAGTAATATTTTAAGTATACTCAGGTATGTTCACAACATTTTGAAAAGACTGTATAACATTTGCACTCCCCAGGTTACTCTAAGCTATTTTTCTTTGTACTAGTTATCTTCTAAAAATTAAGTAATTTAAAATGGATTAGTATTTAAGTAATGCCACCAGCTCTCATGGGAAGCACAATGCTGCATGTCATTGTATTGTTTTGTTATTAACCACAGTGTATCAATTTAAGCTTAAGATTTGGGGAATGGGAAAAAGACAGCATGCATTCAATTAGACATGTTTATTCTTAAGAGGACACTATGAGAAAATGTGAATCAAGAGTGATTACCAGACTCATTTTGGGCAAAAAATAACTGGATGAATATATGTACAAAATACAGTCCTTCTTAAAAGCACAAAACAAATTAACAGCAGCTGCTGATCACTCATGAGTAACTCAACACCATGAGCCTGTGTACATGAGCAGTGGAGAGAAGCATTTTAACAAGGAAATAAAATTCAGTTTTAAGCTTTACAGAATTTTACAGATGATACAGAAATGTAACTGCAGTGTGCCATTTAGTTTTCAAAAAACTTCCTTTAGGAAATTGCTCTAATATCTCTAATTATCAAAATGAACTGTTTCGTCATAAACCAGAGGTAATACAGGTAAAAAGTAGCAAAACTCTTGAAATAGTATCAGAACAATTATGATTACCATATAATTAATTGGACCAGTGTTGTTGACTTCTTGTCCAAAAAACAAAATATTTCAGTCTCCGCAATCTGGGGCAGATTATTACTAGAAATGTATGCATGGATTCCTTTAACCAGAAAAGTAATGACCACAAATAAACTAATATATGCTGAGTAACAAGGACCTTGGGAAATCCTTCACATGCAGTAGCTCATATAATCTTCCAATGGTCCTGTAGTGTTATTATTATTCTCATTTTACAGATGAAGATATCAAGTCATAGAGAGTTTATTAGTTAGTATAGAGTAGCTTATGCTGCAGTAACAAACATCTCAAAATTGTAGTGGATTAAAACATAACATTGAGCTAGAACTGATTTGTTACCAGTGTGTTGCTGTTCTAGAAACATTCAGAACAACTCCTATAAAAAATTATTCAGGGATTGAGGCTGCTTTCATCTTAACCTCTAGACCTTGTGGCTTTCAGAGTTACTCTGGCAGGGAAAGAGAGTCCCGGAGGGCCGTGCAGGATCTTTTTTCACTGTCTTCCTTTTCTCCTGGCAGTGGTGCACTTCCACTCATATTTTATCGGCCAAAAATAGTCACATGATTCCAACTAATTGAAAAGGTAGATGCCAACTAATTGAAAAGGTACAGGCTTTCATGAGCCAGAGAAGGGGAAAATTAGGTATGTGTAAGCGCCAGCAATGGACTACAGGCAGATATAGAAATTTAACCAAAGCTAAAAACATAGACTTGGTAAAACCAGAATTTAAACCCACTTTGTTCAAAATCTCACTTTATTCTAGACCTTGGGTCTTCAAACTTTAGCCATGCAATATCTACTATGTATTGGTCTTTAATGTTCCCAGAGAAAATAGATGATTAAAAATGCTTACCACAGACCTTTAGGTTTAAAAATAAATCCTCTAACAGATTTACATTCATTCTCACTTTAAGAAATGCTTACCAATCCCTTTTAAACCACCCATTCTTTGTGTTTTGAAGAATCACTTCCTGAACAAGCCCTTTCCAAACTCTTAAATGAGGTTAGGCCCCTTTTTTTCTTTACGTCCATAGTATCATTTTGTAAAGCTCATCATACTTTAATGCCCATGAGTTCCACGGTGGCAGAAACCATATCCCTCTGTGTCTCCAGAGATTGGCACAATATCTCACACAATGTGGGCTCTCAAAAAATATGCAGAAATAAATGAAGAGTTTGACTCTTTTCTGAAGCAGGTCTTGCTACTGTTTTCTTAATTTTTATTTGCACAGGAAGGGTCTTGCTATGTTTCCCAGGCTGGTCTTGAACTCCTGGCTTAAGTCATCTTCCCTCCTCAACATCACCAAAGTGCTCCAATGTAAGCCAACACACCCATCCTTGCTGCTGTTTGATATTCTCTGGTCTTAAAAATGCTCCCCAAGTGAGACAAAATTTACTCTTCTACAATTTCCCTCTGACAATCTTATTTTTCTTAGTTCTTCCCACATAACTAACATTGAATAAGGCTACTTTCTTTTAACACAAGAGCTCTTCAAATGAGATAACCAGCATGTGCTCCTAATTCTTCTTGGTTTCCTTAATCTTTCCATGCAAAAATGCATTCCTAAATCCGTATCAACCCCTCTTCTTATCTGCAGATATGTTCTGCCTTGTTAACTCTCATCCAACGTGTCCAGAACCAAGCCTACTACTTGAGATATGAACTGACTAGCTTTCCACGGTGGAGTTCTAACCTCCTTTGGAGAATGAACATGCATTTTCCCCACTATAGGATCTTTAGTAAAAAGTATAGTGTCTGACACCACATACAAGATACTCAGTAGGTATTTGTTGAATAATGAATGAATAAATGAATGAATGCACGAATGCACTTTAAGATATATTAGATTCCTTTTGCAATTGTTTCCCATTCTAGGCTCATATAACTGTGGACATACTTCCATATGGATTAGGTCAGTTCTTCAAAATCTATACTCAGTTTAACAAAAAAGAGATGTTAATACAGAACTAGCAAACATTTATATAGAACATTCCCCACAAAACTCGAAGGAAATTAAGCCAACATAATCAAATGCTAATTTCTCTAGGGAAGTGTCCTTGTCCTTCTGCAGAGAAATAGTCTCCAAACCTACATTGCTAAAATAGCCTATCTTTCAGTGTTCAAACCTGACAGTTAAAAGAAATGAAGAAAAGCAGCGGCGCTGGAGGCTGCTTCGATCTCAGTGGCACGTGTAAATGGAAGCAATTTGCAAGAGATTATCTCGGGTCCAAATAGGAATGAGGCCACTATAATCTTGGAGTACTGAAGCTTTCTCATTCCTCTCCCCCTTCCCCTGTTCTTCTTCATGCCTGTCAGAGTTAAAACAGGAGCCCCCATATTTTCCAAAATATTGGAGGCGATTTTCCATTAAATGATGGGTCGAATCATACCTGACTGTCTATAAGACCCGTTAACAGATGCACAGGGACATTACCAAGGAGGCTTCCTTGCCACTCACAGCGGACAGCAGAGGCTTTCTCTACTAGGACCAATAGTTTAGATTTGTTCTGTCTTAAGAATGCAACACTCGATCGACTTCCCAGCAGCAGAGTGCAAAGTTGAGGGAGAGAAAAAGAGCGTGTGTGTGTGTGTGTGCATGTGTGTGTGTGTGCGCGCGCGCGAGTATCTTGATCAGTGGGGTTGGGGCGGGCAGTAAATAAAGGGTGGGGCCAGCGAGGGAAGGAGGAAAGCAAAGATTGAGAGAGGCCGGAACGTGGCTCCGCTCCCAGTTAACCTGCTGGAACTCATCAGGCTTGCTCAGAGCCCCTGCACCAACTCACCCAGTACTCTCTCTCCTTCTTCGTTAGTCTTCTTTCCCCCTTTCCCCTCCTCTGTCTGCGCCTACCCGCCACTTTTGCATCTGACCAGAGGACGAATGAGGGAAACGTTCCTGCAGATTAGGGCAGCAACTTTCCTCAGATCGTCTCTGGGCTCCCGGCGCCGGAGAGCGCTGATCCTCCGCGGTCTGCGGCCCATGGAAGAGGAGGAGGAGGAGCCGTGATGGGCTAGCGACAGCAGTGAGGAGCCCCGAGCGAGCTCAGCCTTGCCAGCTAGCTCCGCGGTCCCACGCGGGTTCCCTAGAGCTCGCTCCGTGGGGGAGCGCGCAGCGTGCTTGGAACCGGAGCATCCAGAGAGGATGAGGCGGGGACCCGGCCCAAGTTGGGTGCATCTCTCGGGCGTCCGGCAGCGGCTGTATCTCGGCATGAATTAAGAAGCTAGGAAGATGGAGCTCGGCACACTCCTCGCCCAGCCCAGGCTCTGGACCAGGGACACCAGCTGGGCACTCCTCTATTTCCTCTGCTATATCCTCCCTCAGACCGCCCCGCAAGTACTCAGGATCGGTGAGTGAGCCCCAGGCTGCCTGCTCGAGAGACGTGGTAGCTCGCGGCACCAACGCGGGTGTAGCGGGTCCCGGGCGAGGCAGCGCGCGGCGGCGCAGGAGCAGGAGCTAGGGAAGGTGGAGGTCAGTGCGCACGGGAGGCTACACAGCAAACCCGGAGCCGCGTCACTGCTTCCCTCCTGGAGGGTGCCGGACTTTCCAGGGAGGTACAGTTGGCGGGGTTTTCAATCTGGGCTCCAGGAACGCGGGCTAGAATGCGGAGATCCGGGTTCGCAGGGACGGGGACCCCTACTCTGGGCAAGAAATCGCGCGCCGCTGCAGCTACTTGAGTTGGGCGCAGACATGAGCTCTCCCAGCCGCCTGGGTGGGCGTCTGTCAGTCCAGATCCGCAGTCCCGGTGCCTGGCAACCTGGGCTCTGGGCACTGGCCAGTATGCACGAATCTCAAGAGTAGAGTACATGGACCCCTAGGGGTGTGGGAATATTCTAGAGCCTGTTACCCCAGACCCTCCAAGTTTTTATGCCTCAGTTGGGTTCTTCCACATGGAGTCTGCCAAGTCTGACGGGTTCCACTAGATTGGGGCAGGATTCAGATCTGACTTCGAGCTGAAGATTCGAAGAGTGAGAAGGATGGTCAGTTAGCAACGTCAGCAGACACTTACGTTTGTTTCCCACTTGCTCCCTAATCTGCCCGCTTGCCTGCCACTGAGCACGATCCAGTTCCCAGTCCAGGTAGCTTCGTAGGAGATTCAGGGCTCTGATCTCAAATGAGATAAAAAAGGCACTGGAAGGCTGAATGTGGGCAGCCCAAAGATGACAAAAGGCAAGGACAGTGGAAGGGGCGTGGACTCACAGCCATAAATGTACAGCACTCACCACCAAGGTTTGGTCTGTGGCTGCATAGGGCAATTTCTGAGCTTTGAGGGTTGACACAGCTCTTCGCCTTTCAAACCAAACCCCGTTATTGTTCTCTTAATCTCATTTGCCCTCCTCCTTTCCCAACCCATCGGGCTTCTTAGAGACACAGTCACAGAGGGAGCCCCAGGTGAAGTTGTGACATCGCATGGGTCTCTTAGCTTCTCCTGTCTTCCACTTTCAACCACAAGAGTGAAGCCCTGATCTCTGAGGACTTCTAACTCACCCTTTCCAGGAACTAACAGAATATGCCAGGAGTAGTGCCAGGCAGCGGCACAGTGGCGCTTCCTGAGCAGCTGAAATTTCTCATGTGCTAGCTCTGACCTACAGTCAGCCCCTTTACAAAAATTCAGAACGTAGTGGGTTTTATTTTTTTAATCGCTGAACATGCCCATTAAAAGAAAAACAGAAATGTGCTACTTTGAGCTGCAGATCCCAAATACTAACTTTTACTACAGACATGTTTTTTCTAGACTATGGGTAATTTTAATGTGCATTGTATTGGATGGTTTAGGGTCTTTTCTAAAACAGATTCAAAGTATTTATTTTTTTAAAAAACTTACTACTATACATAACTGAAATATCCTTTACCTGAGATAAGTTCTAGGTTTAACATCCTGGGTTTTGGGGAACGCAATCAACTCTACTCACCCTGGTCAAAAAAAAAATATTCTGAACAATACAAAGTAAGGAATGAGTGTGCGTGTGTTATAATTTCCAATACTTATTAACTTAATTGGGGTTTTGCTTATGTATTTTACCTTTTGAAAGAGACAAATCTAGGGATGCTAGAAATGGCTGTGCTAGCCAGTGTTCCTCCTCCCTGTATAACAAGTATAAGGTAGCATTTTCCTTTCCTATATCCCCCACACCTAAAGGAACTCAGGAGGAGAAGGGAAAAGGATGCTTTAAGACATATTTGTTCACAGATCTGAGTATTTGTCTAAACTCCAAGCAATCACAATCATCTATGTAAAAGTAGTTTTCAAAGTGAAAACAACCAACCACTGACCTTACAAATATATGCCACAAGATAATGAGGTTTTCTTTTTTCTAAATGGGAGCCAAAATGCATGAAATAAACTGGCATGGCACGGCCTGGTGTTGTTTATGTGCAGTACAAATATGTTACTCCTTCTGGCCTGGAGTGATCTGTGGCTGACGTGAGCACTGTTGCCCTGTAGGTACCTAAGCACCAATGCATGCTTTTAAATGAGCAATTTAGCACTGTGGAAACCAGCTTTACCTCAGAGGAAACCTACAGTGACTTTCTTGTGTCAGTCAAGTGCAATACTGAATACAAAATATTAACGTAAAAGGGGTTGGGGACTAAGCCAAAGTGTATGTGTGTGTATGAGTGTGTGTAAGGAAAAAGAAAGGAGAGTTATATTCTTTATCATATCCTGTCCCATCCTTCTTTCCAACAAACCGTCAACCATCCAAGCAACCGATCAATCAACTAAACAATCAACCAATCAACAAAAAGGGTCTCTAGATTATGAACTGGCACGTTTTTTAGTGACTTAAAATATTCAAAGTAAAGTATAGCAAAATCACTAGGCACTCAGTACTGGGTCCTCATATAGAGAAGGCACTCAAATGCTTGAATGAATTAATTACTGGTCTACTTTTCTTGTCAAAGTGTCTGCTTAAGCTTCAGCTTTGGAGAAAAGGAGAAAAGCTAAGATAAAATTCATGCATACTGAATATTTGAGAGGGCATTGAGTTCACATATACACATGATTTGAGCATACACTGTGAATGTCTATTGGAAAGTTTATAATCTTATGCAACAGTTAAGAGACAGAGAAGGCCAGTAGGCTAGTGGTGCCCTTAACGTTACTTCTGCACTTGAGAAGTTTCCCAGCAGCTTGCACAGAAGAGAAATACAGCTGGCTGCTGGGGAATGGTGTGGAGCTGCTGGGGTCATCCCTGCCTCTCTGTATACACCAGTGTATATCAACAACCAGTTAGTTGATATACACAATTAGTTGGTCTGTGAGCTTCACAATCACGAATATCTTCCTTAATTGGGCAGCTGACTTATAACTAATGGTTAGAACAGGATCTAGGTAACCTTGGTAGATGTGGCCCACCACCACTAATTGAAAAAACACTCCAAGTGCGTGTGCAATTTAGGGCAGATGTGTAATATTTATAATAAGAATTACAGAAAGATCGATAATATATTTGTGTGTATCACCTCAGCACATACAATTATAGAGGTCATGGTAAAAACAGGATTAAGAATTGAGTAGTGGGCAGCCAGGCTTTCTGAAGCATGTTTTGGTGTCAGAAAGCATAAGTTTGAGTCTCACCTCCACGATTTACTAGATACGTGGATGAGTGAGTGAGGGTTATTTAGTCTTACCAGGCCATTGCTGTTGCATCTGACAAATTGAATTAAAACTACTGCAAACCTCACAGTGTCATTGATAAGAGCTCAGTATGAAAGGGCTTTGAGTAATATCTGGATACGTTTGTTGTAGTATTACTGTTATTTTGTTTTTACTTCTATTTTTTAATTATTTACATTCTCTTCCTAAACAGGGACTTAACAGTTGATTGGTATATCTTTATAAGGCCTTTAATAGCCTTGAGCCTAAATATCTTCATCTGTGAAGTAGCTGTAATGGTATCAGCCTTTCCTATTTTACAAGGGAAGATGAAATACTCTAATTTCTGTAATTTGCCAACAAACCACCAAATAAAGATGTTACTATTGTGTAGTTAAGTACATCACAAAAATAGAAATCTTGTGTAGTTTTATATGAATAGTGTGGAAAGCTATAGTGACAATATCATTGTTCACATGCTTTTATTTCCTTGGGAGAAGTCCAAATTTATTTTATGTCAATCATTACCTTGGCTGCAACATCATTTTTGGATATTTTAACCCAAAGATCCCCAAAGTTCCAAGTAATATTTTTTTTTGTTCATATTTTTACATAAGTGTGTACAGGCCCACGACTTTATTTTTAGGCACTTAGTTTTTTCATCATTTTAATATTCATTCTTCATTCAACAAATATTCTTTGAGTTCTTACTTCCCTAGCATGAGCCAGACACACTTATAAAATTGCAGGATGTACACCAGTGAATAAAATGGACAGCATCTGCCCCTTGAGGTTTGCATTCTGGCAATTGCAATCTATACTGCTGACGTTTTTCATCAGATTTTCAATGTGGTCACTTTAAAATTTTTTTCAAATATTATTCTCGAAGAGTTCTTAGTTAATGTTCTGCCACTGATTTATTACATCAATTGCATAGTCAACTTGGAATAAGTTCTGGCTTCCAAATGCATAGAGTGTGGAGAGTGGTACATGCTGCCAAACTTAGAAGAAATTCAGAAACTCAGAGGAGAGTTGCCTATGTTTAGGAAGACCTCTTTGGCTGGAGGTAGAGTCACTGAGAGAAGCACCTGTGTCTTCAAAATCATCTTGGTCCTAACATGAACTTGAAAACTCCAATGGACACCAGAAAAATCTAAAGAGAAGGTGTCTGATAGTGTGATATAAAAGGGAGTGCCTGACTAATATTAACATGTTTCTGCAAATGAGCAGATCTTTTCCCTTAACAATTTTACCTGTGTCATTCATCGTTTCATTTAATATTGATTTTATGGGCCTAATGTTAACATTGCATAGACCTCAACTTCAGCTACTTTTCTTGTAAGGTTTGTGATCTCTGGTTTTCATTGAGATAGTGACTTTGCGAAAGTTCGGTTATTACTGGGTGGAAACACCAGAAATTGAAACTAGCTATTCTGGTCTCAGGTTTTGAGTTTCTTGCATTATATTATGCCATATTGTGTGTAGACTTATGTATGCCAAGTATACATGGCATAAGTGTGTATTCAAACAATAAATAATGCTTACTTTAAGTAATTTAGTTACCCAGAATAACTAAAAGCAAGAGTTCATTTCTCTTATATTTGATTTCAGCTTAGTATACACTATATTGGTCCTAACATGAACTTGAAAACTCTGATGGGCACTGGAAAAATCTAGAGAGAAAGTATCTGATGGTGTCACATAAAGGGGAGTGCCTGGCTAATGTTAACATGTTTCTGCAAATGAGCAGA